GTATGATAAGCACTCAACTGCAAGGTCAGTTTGAAATGCTAGGTCGGTGGTTCAAACTCAGCAGTCACTCCTTGGAAACCCTACACAGGGTCTCCATGAGTCAGAACCTACTCGATGTCACTTAACAACAACAACCAAATCATGAAAGTTCAAAGTGTTGACAACACTAAATAGACTAAAGGTAGATATTGTTATTGTTAAGTGCCGTTGAATTGGTCATTTCAAACGGCTGACTGAGATTAACAGCCCGACTCATAACCACAAGTGCCACATGTTGTTGTTGTGTTGTGCCATCGAGTCGATTCTGACCCATAGCGATGCTGTATAGGGTTTCCAAGGAACAGCTAGTGACCTTGAACCCCCGATGTTGATGTTGCAGTTCAAAGGACTCTGCCTTCTGATGCGTTAGCCCCCAGCAACACACCAGGACTCCTAGATACTGCGAAACAAACTCTACTGGCTTCAATGGGGGTGGTGATGGTATGCAGTAGAGGAGCTATAATGCGAGTGTGACACACAGAAATCAACTTAACCTTTGTCTTTGTCCTTAAAGAATGCCCTGGGGATTCTTCAGCAATCAATGTGTCTTTGTTTCCCAAAACAGTCAAACAACTCTCCTTGGTTGTTAAATGTGTGCAATGACTGGGGGTGGGGGGGTGGGGAACGAGTGTCTCAAAGACCACTTCTTGATGGCCAAGCAGGGGCTGCCATCTGCGTACTTGCAGTCTGAAAATGGAGTCCTTCTAAGTTGAGAACACTGACCCAGATCTGGCCAAGATCAGAGGGCAGCTGGTTTGGAGAGAGAAGTGACCAGATGGTCAAAAGTTAGGGGGCTGGAGATCTCCTCTCCCCTGGTACTGCTTGGCCTAGCTCTGGGTGGCTAGCAATGAGAGAGAAGAAGCTAGTTAGGTCAGAAGTTAGGGAGCCTGGGGATGCCCCAAGCTTGAGACTAGTACCAGAGAGAGGGAGAGGGCTGGAAGGATGGAGAGGAGAAGAGAGAGGTAACGCCTGAAGTTGCTTAGAACAACAAGGATAGAAATATAAGAATGTGAGGACTTGCTGAGTTTCAGGCCCAGAAGGAAAAAGCCTTCTGAGTACATAGGTGCCAAGAGACCAAAAAAAAATAAAAAACAAAACAAAAAAACCTCCACAAAAAAACTAGAATTCATTCCAAGAGACATTAGTTTATTATTGAAAAGAGAATAAAGGAGGTGATTTACTGACAAGGGAATTTACCTACAAAAGGCAACACATAGGTGTTTCCTATGGTGGCTGGCTGGATTGTGTTTTACTGTGTGAGGGCTAGGGGCTAGGGTCTTTTTATATATGGGGTATTCGTGGTGCTGTGGGTTAAAACGCTGGACTGCAAGGTCTGTTTGAATCAACAGGTTGGCGGTTCAAGCTCACCAGTCTCTCCTTGGAAACCTCATACAGGGTCCCTTTGAGTTGGAATGACTCAGTGGCACTTAACAACAAAAAAAATTCACACGTGTAAGGGTAGGTAAAAGTGGTACTTGTTAGGTGACATTGAGTCAGAACCAACTCATAACAACTCTATGCACAACAGAACGAAACACTGACCGCTCCTGGGCCAACCTCATAATTGGTGCCAATCCATCTCGCTGGGGGTCTTCCTCTTTTTCTCTGACCCTCTACATTACCAAAAATGATATCCTTCTCCAGCGACTGGTCCCTCCTGACAATATGTCTGAAGTATGAGAGATGAAGTCTGGCCATCCTGGCCTCCACTCTGACTATACTTCTTCCAGCAGCCCATGGCACTTTCAATATTCTCCAACATCATAACTCAAATACTTTTTTTTCTTGTAGCCTTTTAAAGATTTTTTTTTTAAAGCTTTTTATTCTATTTGAACTGATATATAAGCCTTTATTTTCCCTCAATAGTTTTGCGTGTTTTAATTTTCCTCTACCACTTTGCCAATGAAATGTAAAGATAGTCAAACGTGCATTTCTTTTCCAATCCATCTTGTTTTTGTTGTTAGTTGCTGTAAAGTCGATTCAGACTTATGGCAACCCCATGTGTGCAAGAGTAGAACTGCCCTGTAGGCGTTTTCAGTCTGTCATCGTTCAGAAGCAGATCAGCAGACTTGTCTTCCGAGGTACTTCTGGGTTTGAACTGCCAGCCTTTCAGCTCGTAGTCATGTCTTCATAATTTGTACCACCCAGAAAAAGCCAACACTCATAATTAGGTAGTCCTGTGTAGTCTAAATCAATCTTTTACTGTTAGTAAAGTCAGGGTAATGATGGTGGGGCTGGGCCAAGTAGTAAAACATTCACGTGATGAGGACAAAAGGAGGTATTAAGTGAAGGGAAGGAAGGGAAGAGAGGCAGGAAAAAATAAAAATGAGAGAAACTGGGATGAAAGAAGAGTTCAAGATAGGAGCTTCCAAAAACTCAATTTGACTTAAAAATATTAGCTAATCCTGGCCCCTAGGGCCAAGGTTTTCATTGTGTTAACTCAGATTAGCCTTCTATTAGTTCTTTGAAGGAGCCTTAGTGGCACAGTGGTTGAATGCTTAGCTGCTAAAGGTCTCTCAGTGGGAGAAAGATGTGGCAGTCTGCACCTAGGAAGATTTACAGCCTTGCAAACTCTATGGGGCTGTTCTCTGTCTAGTCAGAATGGTTTGTTTTTGGTGTTAGTACTTTACTATTCTGGGAGCTGGTTGGAATATTGCTCTGAGAAGTGTTCTACTGCAGTGTGACACAAAAATCCCAACCCTGGTTTTTATGTTTTTAATAGGTTTTGCCTATTAACTCTAATGGAAATTTCCATGACTTTACAGTCCCTTTCTGCAGCTTTAGGTTCTGGGTCATACTGTAGTGGAGTCTCTGTTTCACTCCAGTCACATGCAGAGTATACCGAAGAATTTTGGAATGGAAAGTGATTACAGATGTCATCTAATTCTACTTCATCCTGGCTTCGTTTCATTCTGCTGTGGGTGAATTACTTACTTGTGCCTCAATTTCCTCAACAATAAAATGAGATTAAAATATCACCTATCTTAGTGGGATATTGTGAAAAGTATATAAATTTATTTGATTTACACAAATGTAAAGTTTGGTGAAGTGGAGGGTCTGCAAAAAACTGGAAGAGCAGCAATGACTGGCAATACCAATGGGCTCTAGGGTAAGAACGATTGTGAGGACCAGGCAGTGTTTGTTCAACAACACTGCACTTTGAGTCATACACAGAGCATGTGCTAAAAAAATGTAAACAATTAGTATGAGGACTGATTTAGATTAAAGCTGATATTGCAAATATTAACTATTTCTGTTAGCAGATCTCAAGGTGTGGTGTGGGGACCCTGAGGGCTACTGGGAACACTTTTTGGGAGTAGGTGAAGTCACTATTATTAAGAAGTGTTCTCTTAATAATGCTAAGATGTTATTTGTCTTTTTCCTTCTTGTACCTTCAAGATACCATAGAATTTTCCAGAGCTTTGTGAAAAGTGATGAAGTTAACATACAGCTAAGAGAATCCATTGTGTTCAAATTAAGCCAGTTATTAAAGAATTGGATTTCAGTCTTCAGTTATTTGTTATAAAAATGTTATTTATGTGTATGAGATTATTAGTTATATTAATAGAATTAATATCTTAAAGAAGTGCAGCCAGAGTGCTCCTTGTCCAAATTTCATCTTTCATACTTCAGACATACTGTCAGGAGGTACCAGTTGCTGGAGAAGGATATCATGTTTGGTAAGGTAGGGTGGGATGGATTGGCCAAGTGGCAGCATTGATGGACTCAAGTGTGGCAACAATAGTGAGGTTGGCCCAGGATCGGGCAGTGTTTCGTTCTGCTGTGCATAAGGTCACTTTGAGTTGGTACCAACTCGCTGGCACCTAACAACAACAACAACGCTACCAGAGCTCCCAGGGCATGACTATTTTAAGTCCAAAAGGAGTGTTTCAGTTCGTTTAGTCCCTGACAAGTATGTTTACAGTAAAACACAGTAGAGTTTGGTTGGTTTTAGCACAGTTCCAAAAGAATTCTGATGTTTCTTCTAACACATAATCTTTTGGGGTGAAATCAGGTAAGCTTATGGTTCAAATTTTTCTCATCTATGAAAAACGTTACATTTTGTAAAAACAAATTTAAAATCTAGCTAAAATACATGTCACATGGTGAATATTACTGTCGTTAAGTGCTGTCGAGTCGTTTCCAACTCATAGTGAGCCTGTATAGGGTTTCCAAGGAGCAGCTGGTGAATTTGAACTGCCAACTTTGTGGTTCAAACCAACCTTGTGATGCACTGCTTTATCCCATAGCGTCACACCAGGACTCCAAATCTATTTAAAGCATCCTAAGATTTTTGTGGAAGGGACTCTGGTAGTGTAGTGGTTACGAATCGGGCTGTGAACCAAAAGGTCAACAGTTCGAATCTACCAGCTGTTCTGCGGGAGAAACATGAGGTTTTCTGCTCCCGTAGATTTACAGCCTCAGAAATACTATAAGTGGAAGCGGACTGCATGTCACTAACAGTGTTCTTCCAGCAGGCAAAACTGGGCTTTCCTACTAAGAGTTGAGTCACCTTTTCAGAAAACGAGCAGAACAGCAAAAAACTTTGTGTGTGCACCACCACAGGCTGCTATACAGAAGGTTGGCAGTTCAAACCCTTCGTTTAGCGGGAGAAAGATGAGGCGGCCAGCTAGGGTAAAACATTTGTAGTCGTGGAAACTCTTTGGTGCAGTTCTGCTCTGTCCTATAGGGCAGTAGAATGGATGGGTGGGTGGAAGAGGCGGTGCTGGGGTCCAACTAGGCCTGACAGGCGGCAGAAGGTCACTAGGGAACCGCAACCCAGGAAACCACCAGCTGTGAGGGAGCAGCGAAGGCCTGCGGAGACAAAGCTCCAGGCTGCCCTCCCGCGAGATTCCAGGATCGCCCACAGCCTGAGGGGCGGGGCCACCAGCCCAGGGGCGTGGCCTTCAGCCTGAGCGGGAAAGGGTCAGGCGCCGCGTGTGCGCGCTCAATCTCGGCCGCGCGCAGCACGCTCTGGGCCGGGATGGCGGCGGCGGCGGCGGCGGCAGTGACTGGCAACGGGGTACCCCGAGAAGAAGATGGGCCTGTGAGTGAGGCAGCGGCCCCACAGCCTCAAGCCCCGACGAATGCGCCCGGGGCTCGTCTTTCGAGGCTACCACTGGCTCGAGTGAAGGCCCTGGTGAAGGCGGACCCCGACGTGACGCTCGCCGGACAGGAAGCCATCTTCATTCTGGCACGAGCCGCGGTGCGGCGCTAAAGCGAGGCCCACGCCTCAGGCGGGACGGAAGGGAAAGGAAGCGCAATGAGGGGCGGGGCTCCAGGGGGCTTCCGAGAGGGCGGGGAGATAGGGGCGGGGCTTAGCGGCAGCATGGGCGGAAGCAGAGGAGCTTGAAGGTATGGGCAGAGTTTGCTTGGGGACCCAAAGCTGGGATTGTGAGTGTTTGAAGGAAGGAGGTCACATGCCTACAATAGTTAACACATCTGTATTTAGGAGAACCTGGGCAGTGACTTTAATATACATCTTGGCAAGCACAGAACTTAGAGGTGTCTCAAATGAATGAGTCGGGTGGATTTGTAAGTCATAGAGGGGACGTGCCATTCTAAGCTAATGCGAGGGAGGGAAGGGAAATAAACCGTAATGAAATATAGGACAACCTTCAACTTCAGTAAGATCACTGCCTTTCTCCAACAGCATCATTCAGAAACATCTGTTCTAGAACCGATTATTGAACACTTCTTGTTTGCTCCACAGGAATTGTTTGTGGAGACCATTGCAAAAGATGCCTATTGCTGCGCTCAACAAGGAAAGAGGAAAACCCTCCAGAGAAGAGATTTGGGTAGAGTGTCCTTATGTTGAAGTGGACATGGGAGGGCTGGTCTGGGCTTCCCTACTTACTGGTTGAGAAGGCGTGGCTTGATAGGGGGTCCCACTGGGTCTCACGTTGATATTTCCCCAGTGGCCTGCCACAGTGCCAGGAAGCCCTAACTTTAGACTCTATGCTGGGTGGCTGGAGGGTTGGTGGGGCTGAGTTTAAAGGAGGCTATGTGTTGTCAAAGTTGAGTAGACCCCTTCACACCTTCTACTATTTTGTACCAGGCTTGGGTTTCTTTTTCCCCTAGACTATGGGTTTGATTTCTTATCCCTTTGTCTAGTTGGTAATACTCTAGTTGGAAATACTCTAGTTGGTAATGTGTGAACTTCTAGAAAATGTACTAGGAAAAGTCAAGAAGTATTGCCAGTAGGGTTCCAGTTCATACTTGCATAGGTTTATTCCAAACAAAGCATACTTAAATTTGTCTCAGTGGATGACTGCAGACAAGTTCTCTCAGTAATACATGTGTATTAGTCTTGTTAGGGTGCCTTCAAAAAGAAGTCCAATGAAAACTGGCTTCTGAGGCATTCTCCTTGTTAAGTGCCGTCAAGTCAGATCCGACTTATAGTGACCCTGTGTGGGGTTTCCAAGGAGTGACTGGTAAGTATTGAACTGCCTACCTTGCAGTTCAAATCGACCGTTTGGTCCAGTGCTTATCCTGCAGTGCCACACCAGGACTCCTAGGCCTGTTAAATTCAAGGCAGAGAAGGTTTAGATAACTGTTTTTTGAGGGACTCTAAAAAGGGAGTCCTGATATGGTGCTGCAGGTTAATGTGCTGGGCTGTAAGGATGGGTTGAATCCCAAGGTCGGCGGTTCAGTCTTACCAGGTGCTCGCTGGAAACCCTACACAAGGTCACAATGAGTTAGAACGGACTCAGTGGCACTGAGTACCACCCTCAAAGGGGTAATGTTGATAGATTTTTCTGGAGACATGATGATCCCTGGGACTTGTTAGGAAGAAAATTGAAAACTGCATTGGTGAGAAAAAGGCCAGGAGAATTGCACTGATAATTTTTTTCATCATGACAATGTACCTGCTTGTTCTTGAGAGTAGCAAGGGCTGTCATTTGAGAATTTTGTTGGGAAACCTTAACCCACCCACCGTACAGCCCTGATCTTGCCCTTTGAAACTCCTTTGTGTTCCCCAAACTTAAAAAATATTTAAAAGGAGCATGGTTTGAGTCCCTCGAGGATGCCAAAACTATCGTTTTGTTGTTGTTTAGTGGTGCTGTAGGATAAGCACTGGACCACAAGATCGGTTTGAACCACAAGATCTGTGTTTCAAACTCACCAGCCACTCCTTGGAAACCCTATACAGAATTGCTATGGGTTGGAACCAACTTGATGGCGCTAAACAAGCTCGAAGAGCAGAGACTTCTTTGGGAAAGAGGTGTTAGGTGCTGTTAAGTCACTTCTGACTCAGTGATCCCGTCTACAGCACAAGGAAACGCTGCTTGGTCCTGGCTTTGAGCCTTGTTGGCTGTCACTGCGTCAGTCTGTCTTGTTGTGGGTCTTAGAGATCTGGATGCACCACCTTAAGAAATGTTCACACCTAGGTGGAGGTTATGTTGAGAAAATAGCTTCATGTTTTGATATTTTTGTTTAATAAAGGTTTCTGTGATTTTGTAGCAATGCTCTTTGACTTATGTATTCTCACTCTCTTTCTATATTGCCAAACTAATGATGTTCAGAGTAAAAAGTTAAGTCAATTTAGGTTTAAATCAGGACTACAGGGGGGTTATGAATTTTGTCTTCACACAACAGTATGTGCCCTCTCCTGTGGAGTGACATGGATCTCAAGGACAGGCTCCAGACCACAAAGGGCACCCTTCATAAGGCCCCTCATTTGCATAAGGCCTTCACTGTGTGAGTGGTGCTATTTAGGGCTGGTAGCCACAGAACTAGAACACAAATGTCCTTTACTTTGTGTTTCAGATAACGCAATAGAAGCTGTGGATGAATTTGCTTTTCTGGAAGGTGAGTTCTCTGTCCATGGGTAATCATTTCCACGTTTATCTTCCATGCTAACGGGTCTGCATTTAACAGCTTATAAAATGGACATTTGGTTTTTCCTTGTTTGTGTAGGGATAACTCTTCTTCCTGTTAGAAAGAAAAACAAGCTTGCTAAATTAAGTAAGATTCAGTTTGTTACCTTGTGAGACTAGAACATCTACCTGAAAATTTTTAGCCATAAAGAAGTGGGAGGGAATATATAAACACTTGGTAGAGTTAGATGAATTCAGAAGTGTGATTTCTTCCTTGGTTTCTATCTTTGTTGTTGTGAAGTGCCGTCTAGTCGATTCCAACCCATAGCTACCCTGTATAGGGTTTCCAAGGAGCAGCTGGTGAGCTAGAACCACCGACCTTGTAGTTCAAATGGCTTTGCAGTCTAGCACATTAACCCACAGCGCCACACTAGGACTCCTGGTTTCTATCTTTAGATGTAATAAACCTTCTTCCTCATCTTAGTGTTAGAGAATGGAAACGATTGCCAGTGTTTACAGTCCTTCTTGTTCCTTTTTCTTTTTCAGTAATCTGTAATGTGATTATTTTGTAGGCATATGATTTTTTACTTGTCTGTATCATATTTGTTAGGAATTTTGGGTTAACTGTTATGTACTAATTGATAATTGGATCGTGTCATTGAAATAGCAAATATTTGAACTATCTCATTTCTTTAAGCTATTTCTGCCTTAAATTTGAACACTTTACACTACACACGTTGTAAGGAGCTCTGGTAGTGTAGTAGTTACAAATTGGGCTGCAAACCACAAGGTCAGCAGTTTGGAACTACCACCTATTCCGTGGGAGAAAGATGAGGCTTTCTGCTCCCGTAAAGATTTATAGCCTCGGAAACCCTGTACAGGGTCGCTAAGAATTGGAACCGACTCCACGACACATAACTACCACTACCACCGCACAAGTTGTGGTTAAGTGGCTTTGTGAAAGCCATTTGCCCATAGATTACTCTTACCTTTGCCAAACTGGGGTATTCACGTTATTTTATCAAGTCTGTTTACCTTTAGAAATATTTGTGTGGCGTATTTCTTTTCACTATTTACTTCTTTGTTGTACATCTCCGTATTGGCTTAGGCCCCTTATTCTTTCTTTTAACTTTTTATTGTGAATTGAGTGGTTTACAGACAAGATCATTAGCTTTCCATTTAACAAATCCTAGACTGTTTCATCTCAATGATTGCCATCCCCAACATTTATCCCACTTCCTCTCTGTGGTTCCTGCTTCAATTCCACCCACCTTCCTGTCCCTTCTCAGCTTTGTTCTTAGGTAAGTGTTGCCCTTTTGATTTTGAATGCTTGACCATTCCATGGTGAGCAGACCTTACTAGTTTTGTTGTCCACCACCCCCTCTATATACTTATCTAATGCTTGGCTGAAAATTGGGCCATGAGAGCGAGTTCCTTTACAGACCTGAAGGGTGGCTGAGGGCCATAGTTTCTGGTTCCTCCAGTCTGTTTCAGACCAGTAAGCCCAGTCTTTTAATAATTTTGAGTTTTATTCTACATTTTCTGCCACTCTACTGGGACCTCTGAAAGTGACCCCTTTCAGGGCAGTTGGTGGGAGCAGGAGTCCATCAGATTTTCTTGTCGCAGAGTCATGGAGACTGATGTTGGCATGTTCCGTTAGACTAACTGGTTCCAGACACCTTCAATTGTCATCACTCTTCTTTTTTCTGCACATGGAGAGACCAAGTGTTGCACCTTAGATGGCTGCTTATAAGCTTTTCTTTTTTCTAAACTTTTTATTATGAATTGAATGTAAGTTTACAGAGCAGATTATCAGTTTTACAGTCAACAAGTCATACACTTTGCTTCATTACATAGTTGCAATCCCTTCCTTGTACCATCAGTTAATAGCATTTTACTTTTACTCACTTTTACTATTGCATTCCTCCTTGTGTCTCTTGCTACATTCATCTTTCCTCTGCTAACCTGCCCTGTCACCTGTGTTAACATGTGTCTACCCTCTAGCCCATGAATAATTTTCCCTTCCACTATCCTGTAACCATCGTAGATTGTTTCTCTTATCAAGAAAACCTTTTTTTAAATATTTACAACTTTGGTCCCATACAATGCCTATCCCCTTGTGATTTGACTGATTTTACTCAGTATAATGTCTTCCAGGTTCAACCATGTTGTGAGGTGTTTCACAGATT